TTCTCTCTCTAGAAATTCTCTCTGGAGCTTTGGTCTATTTACTAGGGTTTTCTCCTAGGGTTTCTGGTTTTTCGATTACTTTTTACGGTGATGTCTCACCAGTTATCGCACGGCAGTGAACACAGCAGCGGCGACGAGTTACGCATTGCATCGACGAGTGTAGAAAGTGACGACGTGATAGAAGCGGCGCTGGACAGTCCCAACGTAGCAGTGGCTCGCCTAACACAGAGTTGGGCTGATATGGCACTGGAGGAGGAGGAGGCCGGCTTTGAGTCGGTGGGGGAGGGGGCTGGCGTGGTGGCGGCTGAGGAGGAGAGGGCGTGGGTGTGTGTCGGGCGTTTCTTGACGTCCAAGGTGATTAAGGTTGAGTATATGAGGCAGGTCATGGCTTCGGTATGGCAGCCGGTTTGGGGAATGCAGGCTACAGAGTTCCAACCGGGCAGATTTATGTTTGTCTTCTACGATGAAACTGATATGAGGAGGGTACTCGATGAAGGGCCGTGGTTGTTTGATAATAACACATTGGTGTGTAGGCAGGTTGCGGCGGGTACTCGGTCGGTGGAGGTGGAGCTTAACTCTGTGGATATGTGGGTGCAGTTGTATGATTTGCCTTTGGGCTATATGTCGGATGTGGTTCTTGAGCAAGCGGCCAATTTTATTGGCTCGTTTGTTAAGGTGGATGACCGATTCCCGGAGGCACTATGGAAAACGTTTCGCAGGGTCCGTGTCTCAATCCCAGTTGATAAGCCTTTAAAGCAAATGATGAAGCTTATTAGAAGGGACAAAACTAGCTTTTGGGTAAGTTTCCATTATGAGCGACTTCATAATTTTGCTTTTATTGTGGTTTATTGGGGCACTCGTACAAGTTCTATAAGCTGGCAAGAAGGCCAGGGTTATCTCTTGATCAATTCCCGTATACGACTGAGTTGAAGGCGGGGGGTGGTAACCGGGGGCCACGATAGGTTGGGGAGCCATGGTTGATCCTGCTTGAGGGGAAGGAGAAGAGTGGGGCACTGCGTGAGGTGAGGGGGGTGGTTTCGGGTTCTGGGGTGGTTGAGGCCGTACGGCCAGAGCCAGGCAGAGAAGGAGGGAGGGGGATGTGGGTAGGGAGGATGTGATAATGACCGAGGTGCCAAAACACGGGTTTACGGCGGGTCCTGTGGTGCAGGCCCGCCCATCGTCATGAGTACCATAAGCTGGAACTGCCGTGGCTTGGGCAATCCATGGACAGTTCGAGAATTGGTGGACCTAGTGTCCCCGCAAGAAACCCAATTTCGTCTACTGAATGGAAACTAAAGTGGGAGGAATGCATGCAGAGAGGTTACGAGTTAAGATTGGTTTTGAAGGCTTGTTCTATGTGGACAGTGTAGGTGTGGGGGGTGGTTTGGCATTGTTGTGGAGGAAGAATAATACTGCTAGACTGTTGAGTTACTCAAAGAATCATGTGGATGTTGGGGTAGCTACAAGGGGGTGGAGGGGGGGGGGGGTTATGACGTATGACGTCTTTTTATGGATATCCACAGAGGTGTAGATGGAGGGATTCCTGGTAGTTGTTGAGTGGTTTGAAAGATAAGTCAACATTACCATGGGTAATGGTGGGGGACTTTAATGATCTTTTGTATCAGCAGGAAAAGAGATGGGGGAACCCAAATCTGGATTGTCTCCTAAGAGGTTTTGGGGAAACAATTGTAATACCCAATTATTTTATACGTATTATTTTGACATAGATATTATTTTAACCAAAACTATATTATTTTATGAGATCCAAAACTATTTGAAACTAGTCTACTATTATGTATTATTTTGTGATTATTACTATTTCTTAAGATCATATTACTAATATGGTATAACAACTAATTTAAATCCTAAAACTAGAGTTATTAAGTCATAATGCAAGTTTATATATTTGATAAACTTAAAGTTTTAGTGTATATATATATATATATATATATATATATATATATATATATATATATATATATGTAGAATCCGGATCAGGTGAGGACCTAATCTTAGGTGAGGACGTGAGGACTAATCTTGTGCGTTTGTTTTTTTATTTGGATGGTCCAGATTTGAGTTCTTGAGATGACATGGATTGATCTTTTTTGTTAAAGTGGGATAATAGTGTCTTTTTCTATTTTTTTTTAAGTGTGAACGCATGTATAATCCTTGGCCAAATTGGTTTCCTATTTTCTTGGATCATCACCGTTGCAATTTGGAGCCGCGATTTCATCATCATTGATTGAGTGTTCGCCCATGCAAACTAATCAGTATTTTTTATTTTTTTTCGCTTGTTCTTTTGAGTATAATATTGTCTGTATTTGGATTGTCGTGTATATGTATAAATGCCTGGGTAGTACGATTGTGCATTCGTGTGTGCTGATTGTGCAACCTAGTGTTGTAAGTTGTGCACTATAGGCTAGGGAGTTGTGCATTATAGCACATAGCCAATGCATCGTAGAACATTGGATGTTCACTGTGTGATTTTTTGGCGGGGTTTGAATGCACAACAATGAAGTTATTGATGCACAACACACATTATAGGAATGCACAACATTTTGTATAGGAATGCACATCTTTTAATAAGACTGATTTACCCTAAATTTATATATTTTAATATTTTAAAGGGATTTGTTTTCTAAATCCGTGTGATTTGTTTCTTTTAATCTCAATCATACATCATTCTGATTTAATGGTCTAGATTAGTCCTCACGTCCTCACCTAAGATTAGGTCCTCACCTGATCCGGACCCTATATATATATATATATATATATATATATATATATATATATATATGTTAGCTCCGTATAGCTGAAGTCTTAATATATATGCATGTTACATATTTTAGTTCGTATATAACTTAATATCTATATTATTACTAAACCTTATTATATTAAGCTTTTAAGTATTTTAGTTCCCTCCTAGAATTATTATTTATAATATAAGCTATTACTTAAGTATTTAAGTAGAAGTCTAATTGTTCCCATCCTCATCAGTAGCTGATTCGTTAAATCCTCCCCTTCATCATAATCATTAGCCGATACTCTCATCGTGTTCCTTTTTCCCAATATCACCGAACACAAAATTAAAGAGAAAAATATACATAGCTGTCTTCTTTTGTCATCGGTCTTCTTCTGTTATCATCTGGCTCTGTTCATCGTAGGATTTCATTCAAGGATTTTGTTGATTCTGGTTTGAGGTAAGATTTATGTCTACTCAAAATGTATTTACCCCAAGGAAAAATCAATTTTCCTATGTGTTTATGTGATTCATGATTTTAATGAATATGTGATATTTAACGTGAAAAGTTATTTGATTATATTATGCGAATAGATATATGTGTTCAAATGTTTTGAAAACCCTGCATATGTGATATGGTGATTTTGTGGTGATTAAAAAGGAAAAATTTTACACAACTTGATCATTGCCTGAGAAATCTGACTGGCGCAGCTGGAAAGAAAAATTCGTGAAAATTGCTTCCTAAACTTCTTTTTGCTTGAAATTTTTCTATGGATAACCTATACTTGTTATATTTGATGTTTGTAAAGTTTTGGTTAAAAATATGTTTCGGTTTTTCCAGAACAATTTCGTAAAGTTGAGGCAGTGTACTGCCAGTTTAATTTCTGTTTGGCGCAGTGTTGGGAAATATTTCGGGAAAAATACTTATATGCCTTGGATTGACTAGAAACTTTTTGGGGTGTAGTCTAGACTCTTTGTACTACTTATCTGGAGAATTTCATATGAAAATATGTTACCGATTTTTCTCAGTAAATTCTGCAATTCAGGTCATAGTTTCTGAAAATTTTTGTTAGTTTCTTATTTGAGATATTGAGAAGTTGCTTGCTTGTGAAATATTTGGTATAAAAACTTATATTTAATTAAATTTGGTCATGGAGGATTTTTACTTTGATTTTTATTGTGAGGTTGGTCTCTCACTTTGGTTATGGATCTTGTGGGGTCAGGGCCGGTCCTATCACTTTATAGGCCCGGGGCAAAGTAAAAACAAGGGCCCTTAATATAAAGTTAAAATGTTTATATATATATATATATATATATATATATATATATATATATATATATATATTTCAAAAGATTGTGTTAATTGAAAATAATTCAAGGATAACTTTGAATTTTTATCGACATATAATTTTTTAAGACTTTATTTTATAAAAAATCAATTGAACTAATTAATCCCGGACTACCAGAGTAGTGTTAATTTAAACTTTGTGTCCCTATATGAAGTTTAATTATAAATTAATTCAATATTCTCTAATATATACAAAGTATCTATTAATTGAATTATTATTATATCAAATGATTATAATGGTTAAGTGGATTTTAATGTTAAATAATAAATTTGAAATTGTGGGTTCAAATCTCTCCTCAAGCAAGAAAATTTTCTCTCTTAACTTTATCAAAAAATAAAAAACCAAGTTAGGGGGCCCCTATTAATATTGGGCCCTGGGCGGGTGCCCATGTTGCCCGCCCCTATGGGCCGGCCCTGTGTGGGGTTGGTCTCTCACATTTGATTCTTGAATATTATTAAGTACCTTTTGGGGTTGGACTCTCACAATCGAGTTCGTTCTACCCATTGGGGTTGGTCTCTCAATGGGGGTATGCATACTTAAGGGATTGATCTCGATCCAACTGGGTTGGTCTCTGGTTGGTTGGTTTTGGTCACTGGGGCCGAAGTAATGGCTCTTGCCTTGTATTTTTCCTCCTCATTGACTTGGTGGTAAATAAAGGATTAAATCCTAATATTGAGAAAAGTGCTCAAGCGTGGAAGTTATGGTATTTTATGTTAAATTAATTGATGTTATGGTAAATTCTGAAATGTTATGTGAAATTATAAATTAGATTTATTATGTGGTTGAACTGATAATTGGTAATTAAATGTGAAGAAGTTGTATGAAGGAATATTGCAAATATAATGTGAATAAGGGGTTAATGTGGAATTATGTGTTCCAAGGTGTTATATGCTATGTGTAAAATGTTTTACAGGGTGAAGTAGATCCTACAAGCTTAATGCTGAATTTGTGTGTTTCTTTGTTTTCAAGAGCATTGGGCATGAGAATGAGCGAACCACCTATAGATATCATTTATTAGTTAGACAGTTGAATTGTTAGTTGTTTTTGTACCAGTACATATTTTGAGTTGTTTATTGTAAATTGTAAATTTAGCCTTAGCACTTAGGTTGTTGGTTGCCTAAGTGTGGCGGTAACACCCATTTTCTTTTGATTAGTTAATGCTTCCGCTATGATTTTAGTAAATTGTAAATTAAGAAAAAAAAATTTTAAGGAAAATTTGATTATGAAAATGGTGGTGTTACAACTATAGATCAATGTGGTTTGCTCCAGTTAACGATGAGGGGGCATCAGTTTACATGGGAGAAAGGAAAAGGCACAGACGCATGGTTAGAGGAGAGGCTGGATAAGGTGTTGGTAACAGCGTAGTGGACTGATATGCATGGTGGAGCTTGGGTTGAAAATATCCAAACTCATAACTCGGATCACTTGGCTCTCTTTCTGAACACTAATACAACAGCGGTGCACAAGCAAGGGGGGCCGAGAGGGTTTCGGTTCGAGATGGCCTGGGTCCATGATGAGGGTTGTAGGGAGGTGGTGGAGACAGCCTGGCGGGATGCTAGGGACCAGGGGTTGCTAAATTGTCAGCAGCATTGTGGGGGTAAGCTCATGCGGTGGGGTGGGGAGCACTGCCATAGATTTGGTAACCGCATGAAGCAGTTGAGAGGGGAGCAGGACGCAATACAACATCGGCGGGATTCAGCTGCATTGGCTGAGTTTCGTCGGCTTGAGGAGAGGCTTGGCCAGTTGGAGGTTCAGGAGGATGTGTTTTGGAGACAGCGCGCCAAGCAACACTGGCTTCGTGGGGCGGATGCCAACACGAAGTTTTATCACAGGTATGTCTCTGCCCGATTTTATTTCTAAATTAAAGAATGATGCAGGTGTTTGGGTGGATGAGGAGAATATGAAGAGAGTAATTTTGGATTACTATGTGGATATTTTTGCCTATTCTAATTCTATGTGTGAAGATCCTACGTTTGATGATTTTCCCTCCGGGGTGACTCCTGAACAAAATAATGATTTGTTACGGCCGATAGTGTTGGAGGAGGTTAAAAGTGCTTTATTTGCGATGTTTCCTGATAAAGCCCCAGAACCAGATGGTATGAACCCAGATTTTTACCAGCAGTACTGGGATATAGTAGGCAAGGATGTCTCTGAGTTTATTATAGAATGCATGAATTCTGGTTCAATTCCTGATGGATTGAATGAAACAAATGTAATTTTAATCGCTAAAAAGAATGTGCCTGAGACGGTAGCTGATATGAGGCCGATAGCCCTAAGTAATGTGTTGTATAGGATTATGGCTAAGGTAATAGCCAATCGAATGAAACCACTCATGGGGGCTCTAATCTTAGAGTCCTAGAGTACTTTTATTCATAGGAGGCTGATTACTGATAATATACTTATAGCTACGGAGGTGGGGCATTATTTAAATAGGAAGCAGTGTGGTTTAACGGGGTGGGGAGCCTTGAAGTTGGATATGGCAAAGACTTATGACAGGATGGAGTGGCAGTTCCTGCGTAGAATGCTTGAGGTTATGGGGTTTGATGATAAATGGATTAATCTGATCATGCAGTGTGTTACTACAGTTAAGTATAATATTGTTGTCAATGGTGTTAATGGTGGCAGCTTGACACCAACTAGGGGTCTTAGACAGGGAGATCCACTTTCCCCATATTTATTCATTATTTGTGCAAAGGGATTGTCTATGTTGTTGCAGAGGGCCCAGATAGCTGGTTTGATACATGGTTGTAGGGTGGCTAGAGGGGCCCCCCTATATCACATCTATTTTTTGCAGATGATAGCCTGTTGTTCTTTAAGGCGAATGCTCAGGAGGCAAATGTGATTAAGAACTGCTTGGGGCGCTATGAGGAGATGTCAGGTCAGAAAGTGAATTATCATAAGTCTAACATATGTTTCAATAAAAACACCAGGGAAGAAGACATGGAGGTGGTAGCGGCATGTCTGCAGGTTGACCATGCACCCAACTTCGGGAAATACCTGGGCCTGCCATCTTTTGTTGGGAGGAATAAGAGTGCCGTGTTCTCTTACATTGAGGATAAAATTAAGGAGAGGATTGGTTCGTGGAACAAGAAATTACTTTCGCAGGCAGGTAAGGAGGTCTTGTTGAAGAGTGTAGCCCAGTCAATGTCTACGTTTTCAATGAGTATTTTCCTATGACCTAACACAGTTTGCTCATCATATCAATCCAGAGAAATATGAATAGATATTGGCGGGGTACTGGTGTGGATAGGGGGATACACGGGAAAACATGGGATAAATTATGTATCCCTAAGAAGTTTGGGGGTTTGGGATTTAAGGATCTCAGGGGTTTTAATTTGGCTATGCTAGGGAAGCAAGCATGTCATTTTCTCACAAACCTCGCCTCCCTTGTTGCAAAGGTTTATAAAGCGCGTTATTTTCGAACTACATCTTTTGTGGAGGCCAAGGTAGGAAATTGCCCAAGTTATGCATGGAGAAGTATTATGGCAGCTCATAGTAAGGTAGTAGCGGGAGTCCGTAGAAGAATTGGTAATGGTGAAACAACATTGATATGGGGATATTCATGGTTAACAGATGATCCTAGCCCCCTCATACAGACTAATATGCCTGAGGAACTGAGATGCCCGGGTGGCAAGTTTGATTGATCCACAGACTAATACTTGGGATCCCCATATTTTGACTGATTTATTTGATGAGGAGGATGTCACTAGAATTAGCAGAATTCCAGTAAGCCCCGGATATGAGGACTCATGGTATTGGCTGGGTGATCCCAGGAGAATTTATACGGTTAAGAATGCTTACAGGAATATTATGGGGACTTATATGCATATTGCTGGGGATTTTGATAAATGGACTGTTATGTGGAAGATGAAGGTTCTCCAAAAATGGAAAACCTTCATCTGGAGAGCAATTTGTGATATTCTCCCTATAACTAATAATTTGATTATAAAGAGAGTGGAGGTGGAACCAACATGCCAAATGTGTGGTTTGGCCAACGAAGATGTTATGCATGCTTTAGTTACCTGTGAATATTCTAGACTTGTTTGGAATGTTTCAGGTCTGCATATAACAAATATCATTACCGATTTATTCCCAGCATGGCTAACTGGTGCACTTGCAATGTTAACAGAGGAGTAGAGTGCTCTTATAGTGGCAATCATGTATCAGTTATGGCGATGCCGCAACTCCGCGGTGTGGGACGACGCTCTCCCACCACCCGCCGGCGCATGGAGGATGGCGGCCATGGCATTGAGTGTGTACCAGAGAGCCAACCACCGCCCTCCTCGGTAGCGTGACCATGGTGGCAGCTCCAGACGGTGGTCACGACAAGCCCAAGTGCTACGTGGATGCAGGGTTCCGCCACGCAATCGGGGAAGCTACCTTCGGTATTGCTCTTCTCTCGTCGGACGGCTAGTTTACGGCGGCTCGGAACGGAAGGTTACCACCTTGTTTTTCGCCACTCATGGCGGAGACCCTAGCCTGTAAGGAAGCTCTATCGTGGTTGTTGGAGAAAGGTCTAACATCTTTGGACCTGCTCACGGATTGTATGGAACTACGAAACATTCTACGCTAGGTGTCAGCAAATATTCTATCCTATGTTGGCGTTATGGTCGAACAATGTAGGGAGTCCGTGGCATCGTTTAATATTGCAGTTTAAATTATGTTTCTGGAGTTTTAAATTCTCATGCTCATATCCTAGCTTCTTTAGCATTTGATCAGGACCAGTTTATGTATTGCAATTCAATCCCTCCTGACTCTATCGCAGCTCTGGTTCATTAATACAATCATTGGTTGGTTGTCTTTTAAAAAAAAAAAGAGTCAAAGAGAGTTAGGCCTATAATGGGTAGAAAAAATAACGGTCAAATTTTTTAATCAAATGAATGAGTCAAATTGATCAGATTTTAATTTTTCCTTGAGATTTCCTAATTTATCCTTAATTATATGATTATCCTGTTAACTTTCCCGTTAAATATTATCTTTTCGGTTAATTTCTGTTTGTTCACAAATAACATAATCATTGATTTTAATAAGAAAGGTCTTAGGTTCGAACCTCATCTCAATCAAAGTTGGCATAATTAGTACTATATTTTACTCTTATTAAATAAAATAATAATTTAGTAGCTACAACAAAAAATAATACATATCATTTCTTTAATTTAGAATTATGTGTCTACAATGCCTTTATGCAAAAAAAAAAAAAAAAAAAAAAGAATTCACTCTCAATAAATTAAATAAGAGAAATAATTTGATTAGTTATATTGTCTTGATTTTTCTCCAATATAAATTTCTTTACATTCAAATTCATCAATTGATTATATTCGCTGAGTCGCCAACCCTAAGGGCTCCCCATACCCCGGCCCGACATAGTATTTGGGAAGAATTGATTATATTCGCTACATTGTCCCTACAATGTCTTTATTCAAAAAAAAAAAATTATTTATTATCAATAAATTAATTAAGAGAAATAATTTCATTAGTTATATTCTCTTTATTTTTCTCCAATTTAAAAAATTCTTTACATTCAAATTCATCAATTGATTATATTCACTACATTGTCTATTATATTTTTTGTGCACTATTTTATAATTAAATATCAAAGTTATAATATAAAATAATGTTATACATTTATTTACTAAGTATTTTATTTATACCATGAAAAAATTTAAAATATATAATTAATAAAGCCAATCATATTAACTATTTGAGGGATTTGTTGACAAAGAGAGTATTCAAATCACACAACAAATTGAAGTGTGAAACTACCTCGCAATGTCCTTGTTTGACAATCAACAGTTAGCGGATTATATTAGAAGTTTTGATAAGCGAATTATATCAACGATGGGTAAAAAGATATTTGAAAAAATTAGATGTTTGGATTAACATGTAAAATGACCTAAGGGTATACATATGTTTAATAATAATA